TTCTGTGGATCAGGAATTTGAAAGTGACTTAGCTGGGTGGTTGTGGCTCAGGGTGTAGCCAAGATACAGACTGGGGCTGTAGTCATGTGAAGGTTTGACTGGGGCTAGAAGATCAGCTTCCACGATGGTTCACTCATATGTCTGTGGGCAGGAGTTCCCCACCATGTGGCCCTCCCCCAGAGCAAGTGTTCCAAGAGAGAGCAAAGCAGAAACTGCAGTGACTTCCGTGACTTTGCTTCGACGCCACACTCCATCCTTTCTGCAGTATCTCATTGATTACCTAAGCCAGCCCTGTACAAACGTGTGACCACCAAGAGGTAAGGATCACTGAGGGTTAGCTCAGACTATGGCTGCGATACAGACTATGCGCTAAGTCACAGAGGCAGAAATAGGGAGCATCTGCTCAGAACATTAGTGATGGGGCAGTTGTCCGGAACAGATACTGACTTCCCACTATATTCAACACCAAACAGCGCTCTCCAGCCAAAGTCCAGCAATCCAACCTTGGAGAGTATTGATCTACCAACATGTGTGAGGAAATGGGAATTTGGATTCCCCTTATCCATAGCTGAAATCTAGAGCAAAGCACTAAGAAACATTTTAGTTTTGTTAGAACGAGAACGCACTCTACGTAAAGCACATTGTGGTCCTATACAGGAGTTGAAGATGACTGCTTTTTAAAAGTACACTCCTGGGGGTGGGGTGGGGGTGGGAGGGGAAGCCACATTGGAAAACAATCTTTGAAAATTCATTTTTCTTCTTATTTATGGACATTTTTCCCATTATAAAAAATGATGTAGTGCTTGTGTAATTTTTAAAAGATTAAAAAGCATGAAAAATATGCTCTGCACAGAGCTACAATCATTCTCCTCCGAAATATGTGACTCTCCTGAAATAAAGGAGAATGAGTTTCCAGGAGTCTGCACTGAGCAATGAAATGCAGCAAAGGGGGAATCCACCGTGGTTACTGGCTGCTGGCTCTGGCTAGGTCAGCATTTTAAGCAGGTTAAGGTAAGGCCTGGGCATTTGCGTTTGGGAGTGCAATTGATTTTTGTTTTACTCTGTGATCCTAGAAATACTAGCCCTTTTCTAGATTTTTCTCCATTCTTAGCTAATGTGTGACATGTCTTATATCCTTGTTTTAAAATGCTTTACTACTTGAAATTGGCTTGGATGTCCTTTTAGAGAATAGTTTCTCCATGCTCAATGTTTATTTATTTAACAATTATTTTTTGGTAATTCCCTAGGGATATCATGATGCCATGGCAGACACAGCCCAGCAGCCCACATGGACCTTCCAACCTCGGGGGCAAGTAAGTGAAGGGAATACTGCCTTGTGATTTCATTTACAGAAGATGGGCCTGAAGGGAAAACCAGCTATCTGTAAATCTTACGGGGTGGGGGGGGGGGGGTGTTAGAATTAACTGGAAGGAAGCCAGGATGGAGATATTAGATTAGCATATAAACACCATATAAGTCTAGCAAATAGCTACATAATCCCTGGCATCATTTACATCTTATGTGTCTCTATGGTTTCCCTCTGTTTTTCTTTCCTCTATTTCTATTGCAAACACATAATGAAACAATTTGAGTTATTAGGAATACATCATTCTGGAGATTCCTGGGTGGCTCAGTTGGGTGAGCATCCGACTTCGGCTCAGGTCATGATCTTGAGGTTCATCAGTTCCAGCCCTGCCTTGGGCTCTGTGCTGACAGCTCAGAGCCTGGAGCCTGCATCTGATTCTGTGTGTCTCTCTCTCTGTCCCTCCCCCACTCCCACTCTGTCTCTCTTTCTCTCTCTCTCTCAAAAATAAAGAAACACTAAGAAAAAAATTTTGGGGGTCGCCTGGGTGGCTCAGTTGGTTAAGCGTCTGACTCAGTTTTGGCTCAGGTCATGACCTCATGGTTTCATGAGTTCAAGCCACGTATCTGGCTCTGTGCTGACAGTGGGGAGCCTGCTTGGGATTCTCTCTCCTCTCTCTGCCCCTCCCCTACTAATGCTATCTCTGTCTCTCTCAATAAAATACATAAACTTAAGAAAATGTTTTGAAAACAATTTTTTTAAATAATAAAAGAATACATCATTCTGCATGTTAAAAAACAACCCACACATGTCCTGGGTGCTTACTGTGTGCCAGGCACAGAGCTGATGGCCTCACTTACATTATCTCAAGTAAGTCACACAACAACCCTAGCTGTGGGGTAAGTTCTGTTTTTATTCCCATTTCACAGATGGGGAAACTGCCACCTCTGGAAGGTCAGCACACACTTTCAAAGTCGCCATGTTACTAAATGGCAGAATAGGGATTCAAACCCTCGTGGGCCAGAAATTCTTATCCCCCGCAGTGATGGTGCCAGTTCTAACTTTTGGCTTCAGTTGCTTCGGGAGTCTGTCTTGACATCACCCAGAAAAGAACTTTAGTCGTAGCTCCTATGAACTGAAACGGCAAACTGAAAAAGAGGAAAGAAAACAGCTTGAAACCTGTTTCAGACCCTGCATGAGGCGAGGAACAGAGTCAGCGGAAATGAGAAGCCAGCTGGATTCAGCGACTCCTCAAGTAAGGGGGGCCGTGTGAACTAACTTAATTGGATGATTATTTCAATTATCTAATTAAGAAAGATTACAGCTGAACAAAGACAGAGAGGGCCTCCAAGGTGATAAAAAAAAAAAAAAAAAGGTTGATTAGCTGGGTTGGCCCTTGGCAACCCTGGGAGGTGGAAGGGACTCCCCGTTGGACGCCATGGCCCTTGGGACAATTAGCCACAGAGAGCCCCTCCTTTCTGCCCCCATTCCTCCCCAGCTGAGAGCTGTCTTCCACTTTACTGCCTGAGACTCAAGTGGTCAAGTAGCTGGCATTCTCTTCCCTTCCTTCTTTCTTCTTCCTTTTCCCTGCCTGTTTGTTTTGTACTGGTTTAGTAAACAAAAACAGTATAGATTTCCCTGTATAGTTTAGGACAGAGGTTATAGTCTGGTTACTACTATCCATCCCCCAGTTCCGCTTCCCCGTGTATGGCCCGTGCACTTAAAATAAATTAGGGGTGACTGGGTGGCTCAGTAGGTTGAGTGTCGAACTCTTGGTTTCAGCTTAGGTCGTGATCTTACGATTTGTGGGTTTGGGCCCTGTGTAGGGCTCTGCACTGGGAGCACGGAGCCCGCTTGGGATTCTGTCTCTCCCTCTCTCTCTGCCCCTCCCCCACTTGCATGCATGCGTGCCCATGCACTCTCTCTCAAAATAAATAAATAAACTTAAAAAAAAAATAAATTATTCATCAATATTTAAAAGTCGAGGATTTCACATAAAAGTCCAGATCTCTGGCTTGATTTGAACAAATCAGATCTGACAACACTGGGTCCACCTTCTCAGAGGCCAGATTCAAAATATTTAACACCGTGTGTATGTGTTGGTGCTGTCTTATCAGAACAGACGCCAGGCATAAGCCACCCAGATGCCATAACCACGAACACTGGCGGGAAGGTGGGGGGTCTGTCCTCTCAGACCAGCCATGTTCTCCAGCTCCCAGGGCCTCTTTCGGTCCTATTGTCTCCTTGACATTGAGGTGAAGGTCACCTGCCATTTATCGTACCTGCTTGACCCACTTATAGTAAAGAGGGAAGACACTCTTCCCTTAGCTTGACCTTTGTCTCTCAGTTATATCATCAGCCTGGCCCAAGTTGGCTTGTTTTAGGGAGCCTGTGGCTTTTATTCTTTAATTTAACAAATATTGGTTGAAAGACTTCATTACGCAACACGATAGAGCAGAGAGAGCTATTAAGAACTAGGCCAGAGAGCCAACAGTTCTGGACTCAAATCCTGCCTCAATCATTTGCTAATTATGTAACCCTGCTTCATTTCCTGATTTTGAAAGGAAGAATTTAGAACTTGTCTAAATACCTGAATTTTCAAAACACCTGTTTCACTGCTACAGCTGTGAGCTTTACTGTGAGGACTACATGGGAAGAAATAACAAAGGACCTAGCACGGTGCTAGGTAAGCACAAAATGGCAGCCAGTTTAGGGGGAGAGCACTAGCTGTCATGATGGTGCATCTATGATATAATAGGCACTGTGCTGTGCACCCACGTGTGTTGTTTGTTCCAGTCCTCATGAGCTCCCTTCTAAGGTGAATAACATTATCTCCATCTTATAGAAGAGGACACTGTCCATCAGACATTGGAGAGAATACAGATTCTGAGTCAGAGTCTAGAGAAGGGCCAAGATTTGGGGTTTCAAACAAGGCCCAAGATGATGCTTTCCTGCCGGTCCATGGACTACACTTTGAAAAACAAGTTAGTTGTGGTGAAGGTATTGGTGACCAGTCATATTTCCCCATTTCTCTAGCCACAGTGAGTGGCTAAGACACAGGCATGGGGACCAAACTTGGCCAATTATAGTATTTCCTAGGAATATAAGTGACTGTTGGGGGAGAGAAGTCCTGTGCTTCTCTTATGGTCATTAAGCTGGAATGAAGAAACCTTGGGTTGCCTCTGGCTGGGCTAACCCATACTGTATAGAGAAGGGTCTTTTTTTTTATTTAACACTAATATTTACCCAGGACTTTTCGAGTTGGAAATAAAAAAAATCCAGGGCAGGGGTGAGAAAGAGAGAGAGAGAGAGAGAGAGAGAGAGAGGCAGACAGAGGATCCAAAGTGGGCTCTGTGCTGACAGCAAAGAGCTCAATACAGGGCTTGCACTCATGAACTATGAGATCATGACCTGAGCCAAGGTTGGACACTTAACCAACTCAGGTGTCCTGAGAAAGTGTCTTTGTGGAGGGAGAGAATGATCCCATCAGAGTGAAGTCACAAAAGAGAAACCAACAGAGAGACGATGAGAAAAAGAATCCTGATGACATCATTTGACAACATGGCGTCTCTAAAGCTAGTCTTTGGTTTTTCCAAGTAAAGGACCAATAATTCTCTCTCTCTCTCTCTCTCTCTCTCTCTCTCTCTCTCTCTCTCTC